AGTAGGAGTAGTAGGAGTAGTAGGAGTAGTAGGAGTAGTAGGAGTAGTAGGAGTAGTAGGAGTAGGAGGAGTAGGACTAGCAGCAGCAGTAGCAATAGCAGTAGCAGATTCAGTGGTAGCAGTGGTAGTAGTGGTAGCAGTAGTAGTAGTGGTAGTAGTAGTAGTAGTAGTAGTAGTAGCAGTAGTAGTAGTACTGACAGCAGCCGCAGCAGCAATAGTAGGTGTAGTCGAAGTCGTATTGCCATCGTGGCAACACCATTGGCAGTGTAGAAGTGTAGAAGTGGTAGTGATAGTTTTCGTCATCATAACGGGAGTCAGACGAAGAGACAAGGGAGGAAGAAAAACCCGTACGTACATGGACAAACGGGAGCGCTGAACGGATCAAGTGATGCCGGCGATAAGCATGGTGACGACGACCGCAAACTTGTCACCAACAAAAACACCATCCGCAGCAGCACCATCGCCAATGTCGCAATCACAAATCCATAGGCTAGACCAGTCCAGCAACATTAGCAGCAACACCATCAGCAGCATCGTTAGCATGACAACCATTGACATGGCAGGGTGTCAGCGTCATTAGCTGCATCGCCGATAACAAGGCCGTATGATCATCATTACGGTCTCTCGTGTACGAGGACAAAATCTTGCAAAACAAGAAGAGGATTGAGTTTGAACCTCGAGGTTTAGGGTGCGGTCTTGCAGAAAGCCGTTGGCCGAGCGGCCGCCAGGGGTTCACTCCTCAGTTTTGAGCAGGATCTTGATGAAAGCACCACCACACAGGTCAGAGCCCAGCGGACTTTGTCTTGACTTGTAGTTTGAGGTCAGGACAGGCTTTGCACGTCGGCAAGAGTTACATAGACCGTGCCCGCCCGCTGGCGCTTTGCTACCAGAGTTGGATTGGATTGGCAGGATCATAACTGAAACACTCTGCGTGACTATCGTCGTGCATGTGGACGAAAGTGGGTCAATAGTAATGGATGCCTGTGACATACAGCAATAATTTAAAAGTTTGTTACCAGCCGGTGCTTCTGCAACGATTTCCCATCATGGTCTCTTGTGCATCATGAAGCTGTTGCTGTTTTCTCGCACTGGCTGAATAAAGCGTAGCTAGCTGTGACTCGCCACCTCCCGTCTCAGTGAACTGACACTGATTGTCAAGCCTAGAATCAGCTTAATCTCCAGGAACACATCCATCAACACATGCAGAATAGAAAATGCGCTACTCGAACACAGAGCAAAACCAAGAGTCTGTAAATCGGCGAACCAATCGCAAGTAAAATAATTTGACGCTCAACTCAGCATTGAAACCCTTGACGCAGAAGTTACAATCTGTCTCGGTATACAGCGTCCTCATATCTCTTTTGCTGAGGGCACCGTGCACACAACTAACACGAGGCCAATGGCGTGATCAAAACTAGTCAGTCATGAAACAAGCAGTGGCGGACCAGCCCGGGTCCCTCATTCAAGCCTACTGTGCGATAACCGGAGGACTGATGCCGTCAAGATTTCCCATTGTGTCAACCCGGAACACGTGATCTTCTCCAGGAAGCTACAGATAAAACGAACAAAGCAAAGGCTCGCCTCCTTCCGATCACGACGGGCCGCAAACAGGATGCGGCAATACTGCGACACTGCATCCTGCTTCAGTCACGCACTAGAGGCCGTCGGCTGCTACTCATGCACGTGCCTGTAAGCACTCGTAGACTCTTCTATGACTTGTTGGTCTGAAAGTCCGTTTCAGTGATCTGCACTGCGGCAGTCACGTGCTGGATTGGGTGCGAACGGGCCCGTTTGGTTGCGAGTGATTCCACGAGCGAAAAACATCGAACCACAAAGCCGCGTCTTCAATAAATTTGACGGTTGCAGCTTTGAAGTTGAAGCTCTGATGCATTCGGCCCTCCGAACCAGGCCCATCTGTTCGGTTCAGGGTGTCTTGCTCGAGTCCTCGAAGGTTCAAGGGATTGAAAGCTTCTTAGGCCTGCTACATTTCAGAGCATTTAAACTTACCAGGTAAATTGTGAATCTTACTTAAACCCTAACACTCGACCTTTAGGTGCCCACCGAAGATCAGTATTTTGTTCTGTCGACCCTTCAATTACCGAACTGTGAAAGGAATACCCTGTTTAGCTTCAGCCGGTGATTTTCTCCATCATGAAACCCTGGCCCTAGCCTAAGCTCTCTGAACCTACGTCCATGTGGCCTGGAGGCGACCCTGGGTGGAGACCAACTGCTGCTCTGCAACCTCCAAACGCCTTGCGGAAACCACGAATGTGTGATGTGTTTTGTTGCTCGGTCTGGTGAAACATTTAAACCTGCTGAGACTGTTGATGCATCCGTATGGTGCTCCTCAAGTACTCACGGACATTGGAAGCCGACTCATTAACCCTATGCTGATGTGCGTGTGCGTGTGTATATATATATATATATTAGGTTTATAAATGTTTTGTGTCCAGAGCTCAGAAGACCGTACACGGGCAGATAGCTGCCCCAGTACCCAATGCGAGGTACGTCATGAGCCACACCATGCCGGAAGCCAGATGAACAAGTGCATCCCAGAACGTGAAGACCATGCTGGCATGCATAACATGCCCTCTCATGACTGGGCGACTGGGTTCAGAATACCTCACCTGTACACTGCAGGCTTGCAAGATGATCTTTGCTCCGCTGGCGGATCTCCTTACTTCATTCAGCAGATTCCCGGCAGGTGTCGCCGGTCGCATAGCTTGCTGAAGAGGGGGGGACGAGTCCGGGACGAGACACCGTGGTACGAGAATTTTTCCAGGCCTACTCCCAGCGCACGCAACGTGAGGAACAAATTGGTCGGAGACGATACTCGAGGGGGAGGACATCAGGGCACACATCGACTTCTTGGCGTGGGAGTGCTACAATGCTACAACGAGACCCATGGATGCCAAGATGTCTGGGAACTACAGAGCGCTGCTTCAAGAACAGCGACGGCCCCATCATTGATGATCTGATGCCCTGCAAGTCCACCATCGTTACAGGCTGCAGCGCTCCTTTGAGAGCTTTTGCCACTCAAACGTTGCTGTGAACAGATGCTGGCCTCATAGGCTGGCCATAATGGCTCCGTCAATCAACATGGAAAGCCGAATCCCGTGTTGAATGTAATTTTGTCCTTAGTGACCTTAGTGCTTGTAGGTGGAGGGTTTTCTGCTGATGATTCCGGTCGCCTCTGACAAGGCGTCGTATCATCCTAGGGCTTTGTTTTGTGTCCTTCCCAAGAGAATGCTCGTTCCACTTGCAGTGTGGTTGGCAGACTGTCGTTTGATGTATGTGTTGTGTTTCTCACCTCTTGTGCTCGCGCTTTCGGCTTGCCTTCTTCGGCTGTGCCGCGCTGGGTGCTCGCAGATTTCTGTGCCGGGATCAGGGTGGATCGCCTCTCAAAATCAGATCAACCAAACATCCCGAGTACATACTGTTGGCCCGCATGAGGGGGCCACCGCCTTTCAGGTGGGGCCTAATTAGATGCATGCCACATGGGCTGCATCCGACTATGGGTTCTTTGCCCGAAATGAGCGACTGAGTGATGTTATATGTCCTACAACGACTATGACTGAGTCAGTGGGACTAGAAGCACGACGAGGATGAAAAGCAGGGGCGGAACAGGAGACCCACACCAGAACCATGATTGCTAGCAGTTCCTGCTTGATCGTCGTGGTCGCCATCATCACGGGTATCACCATGGGCAACATCATGATAAAGCACAGATACAGCACCGCTGAGATGTTTTTGTATCTGTATGTATATATATATATACATATATATACATATACAGGTGTATATTCATGTATGTATATACGTAGTATATGCGTTCAAACTTTAATGCAGCGGGAACCAGATTGTCACCGCTATTTGTCGTCATCGGGCTGCTTCTGTGTAAGGATCTGGGGATGACCGCTGTGCCGGCATTCGTAGTGACTGCCAGTGGTAGGTGCTGTTGTGCTCTTATGATGCTCGCTCGGGCAAAATTCTCCTTGACTCTTCAATAACTCTTGCGGCGGAGGCGCAGCAGCACTTGGTCGATGAGAGACTGCGAGGTGTCCTCCAGAAGTTCGAATTCTATAATGCTGAGTGTGGATCAAGGGGCCTTCTTTCCAACCGCCTGAGCTTTCCTTATATATGCGGAGCACAAAAATATGGGTGGAACCGAGTATGATCCCAGCTCCAGGTTCAAGCAGCGGCTGGTCCTCACTGAGGATATCTTTTGACAGCTCGAAGCAAGGCCAATGCCTCAGCCACTATTCATCTCTTGCCGCTTTCTGAACACGCAATGGCCAACAAAACTGGGAGTGCTTTCAAGCTACTGCTGCCGAGCTTCGTGCTGGCAAATCTTGTACTGCACAAGTCTAGGCTTCTACCTCGAATTCCCTGAATGTCGCGATCTGCAAAAGCAAATCCGGGCCGTCTGTCAGCCGTGTGGCCCCAGCTCTTCATCGATGGCCGCAGCCTAGACAGGGAGGAGGTACGGGCACAAAGGAATGGGAGCTGGTGCGAGTAATTATCTAGAATCTAGCAGCGACTAGTGTTTGCCAACATCTGTTGAGGTCTTCGGGCTTCGTCAGGGCTTCGGGTTTCCAACCATTTCCATACCTTGGACACGTATGCCATGTTCATGTCACAACAAGTGCGTGATCAACATGCAAAGCGTGGCGACTCGAGCCATCCGCAAAGGCACGTCCTTGCTGGAGATAGGGCGTATTAGGGCCAGGAGGAGCTGCGGAATGTAGTGATCCAGGATCGAGGCAGGGAATGTCAGCGCTATGCCATCTGCTAAATTTCATCGACAACTGCACCCAGCAAGCTCAGCAAGCTTTGCAGGCTTTGCAGCTCAAGGTCCAGGAGTGCCACTTTCGTGGTTGAGGCGCACCGTAGCTTGGAACCCCTTGAAAACACCGATACTATAGGACCTACACTTACACCATGAACAATTGAAGGTGACCCTGAAAGTAGTACGATAAAATGCACCTAGCGCCCCAGGCCTCTGCGAAGAGGCGCAGCGCAGGGCAGGCGATCGGGATCCTGGAGTATGAATAGAAACGGGTCGAATTACGGTCAACAGCGGTTCAGCCATCGGGTAAAGGAGTTAATTTGGACTTACGTAGAGTGTTGGGGTGAACCAGGGTGCAGTAGGTTATTCAGATTTGAGCTGTATAAGTGGATGTTGGTTTTGCAGTCCAGTGCTTCGGCTCAATGCCTTCGGGTTTGTTAGGGTTGACAATGCATAGCTAGTCTGAGTTTAGTTGTTAGTGAACAGCAGTCTCTGTTGTGGATTTGAGGTTGAGAACAGTCTGGACATCAGGTGCACCAAGAGGTTCATTCATTTGGAGGCTTTAGGAGTCAATTCCTGCAGCTGTCCAGCTAGGCAGGAGCAATGCCAAAAGCGCGGCCCTACAGCCTCCTTCCAAATGCGTTGAACAATCTCCGAGTCACATGCCCTGCCGACACGTCTTGGACTGTGGTCTCATCCAGCATTGTCATCGTGAAAAACAGTTGTCCACATGAGAAGACATGGGGGTGAGTGTTGCAACTAAACAACGAAACCAAGACTAGAATTGAGAGGACAATCGAAGAGATGCTAGGTCCTCAAAGACTGGACTGCTTGGATGCCGCTCTCGGAGGCGTGCAGGATCCATCGGGTAATCTCCTTCGCAATTGCGAACGGACGGACCAAACCGCACATTATCTGAGGAACAAGTGATGGCTAACAGATATTCGATCGATCATATGGTGAACTTAGCCGTGCTGTCTCGAGTCTACCAGGTCAATGTGAGGAGAGCAGCGGAGGCATCACACATCCCTCCGCCATCAGGCAAATGGCCCCGAAGTCATGACATGCTGGATCTGGCGCATCCAGTGCCACAAAACACCGGCCAGTTGCACTCTTTTTTCGCATCCCCTTTCTTCGCCTCCTCTGCTGCCTTCTCCTCCTCCCCCTCCACATCCTGAACCTCATCCTCACCATCACCGACATAAACGAAAGATTCTTCTTCGTCTCAATCACAATAATAAGCGTCAGTGCATTGAAAACCGACATCTTCCACACCGTCCAAAGTAATCACAATCCCCTTGGTCATCTGAGTTCCGTCGCTAGCTCAATTACGAATGCACTGGCCGCCGCAACAGTGAATCACCGGTACTGGGTTTCGGTTGAGAAACTGCACCGGTGACCTGGACCAGCGGCACCGTCGTCAGGCGCGGAGCCTCTCCCCGACGCACAGCGGCCTCAGGAGAAAGTGTCCTTCATTGCTGGCCCTCCCAGCCCAGGACCCAAACCACCGGGATCTGCGTTCGTTGTGCCGGCCGAAGTCATCATGACTCTAACTGGTACTCGAATGCCAACCGAAAGCTTGCACGTCGCTATTTCGGCCCCGCTGCCCTTGGGTTCATGGCTGGGTTGAGGCCATGCAAGGCAAACCTACGCACTGACAGGCCACAGGCCTTGGAAACTCCTGAAGCTACAATAGCTACAAAGCCTACCAATTGCAGCCCAAAGCCCTCAACCCGTAGCCAAGCCGTTCATCGATGTCCGAGTGGCGCCGAGGTCCCCGAATGACACCTCCAGCTCGAAGATGAGCCCCTGGAGGAGGCTTTTGGGGGTTCTCCGGATTCAACAAACCCCACGCCGTATACCCTTGGACCTTGCCTTGTCTGACTCCCAAGACTGCAAGACCTCGAGCTTGCAGGAACCGAAGGCCCTGCAGCCCTGAAGTAAATCTCAAAAACGAAAGTCTTCATTTTGTCCGAGACACCTGAGCTACATGTTAACGGCATTAACTACATTGGGCCGGGCCAAGCCGCACATGCAGGGCGTGTTTTGCTCGAGCTCCGGCTCGGAGTCTGCACGATGGAAGGGGACCTCGCTGCCGGGGCGGAGTTTCTACAGGCTTTACAGTTGCTGTCGGCAACATTCTTGCAAACAGCGAAGGTGATGCCTACAGTGATGAGGCTGAGGATTAATAACCATAGCAACAGGACGGTGATCATGATGATGATCGTGCCGATGATGATGATGGCGGTGCTGGTGGTGATGGTAAAGACGATGCTAATGATGACATATAGTGATGCTGCCGCGGACGATGACGAAGCTAATGAATGTGTAGCTGGCACTAAAGATTAACATGAAGCTGAAGATTATGTTAAATAAGAGATGAAGCATAATCGCATGACTATGAAGATTTGGATTGGAATGGCTCAGACCAAAAGCCCCGCAACGGTTTCACGAGCGACGCTTCTACAGCATTGCCAGGATTGCCACATCCATACTTTCGGACCAGTTACAAGCATGGATCAAAATCGCCACCGTGCATCAAGTTGAAACTCTCAGTCTCTGCCCAAACTACTCCAGCCATTGATCCAAGATACAATGGAAACCACAGTCGTTGCTAAACAATCTGAATTGCTTAGACTCTGCATGAGACGGTGGAGTCCTCAAACATGTTGAGTAATGTGTAAACTCTATAGAGTATACTATACCTGTTTATGTACTTAGATAATATGCTACAGCAAAATATAATATAACTTACTATGAGATGCCACTGAGCCCAAGTACGGGGCCTCGTCACGGGCTGCCAAGCCAAAGCAGGTGGTGGCAGCGCACTGGGGTCGTTCAACCAGGCACCGGCAAACCTTGCCCATGAACAACAGTTTTGGGCACGCCTTGATTGAGATGTAAAGTGACTGTCAACTTTGTGCTCTTAGATGACCAGACATACCAGTGCTCTGTTGAATGCCAGATGCCGAGGACTGCAGGTTGCGACTGCTTGTGCAGTTAGGGCCGCAGGCGCAAGGTTGCAAATCTAGCAATCAGCATGCAATGTGCACTCCGGGTTTAGGGATGTCAAGCGTGAGTCCCAGGGTCTGAAGTCAGATGTTCGGACTCAGGAGGAGTTTGGAGAACCAATCGTTGAACAAAACCACAATGTCATGTGAGTGGGAAGTCACGATTCGAGCGGCTGGGCCGCATCGTTCGGCTGGTTCGGGCGCTTAGCAGACTCGAAATCTTGATCCCCCAAACTGCCAGTATGACCCCACCTCATTATGACCATCAATCTTGGACAGCATCTTGCTTGGCCACAGGCAAATTGAAAAGGATGCATGTTGAGAAGCCCGAACTCCATGAGCCCGGGAGCCGACGGAATTCCTGTCGCACCGCATCTCGGAGACGACCTCAGGGCTGACCGATCTGCAGGGTTTCCGGGTTTACGGTCTCGACGGTCTACTGTAGGAGTTTTCGGAGGTACAGGGGCACCTTAGAACATGGGTTCCGGACATCTAAGTCACAGAATGGTACAGCTGGCACACCTTGATTTCGAAGTGCATTCGCGGCTTAGAGCGTGTGAAGCACAAACCGGGTGACTCTCGTCAACCGTGTGACATCTACAGGTCGGGCTTCGAAGGAACACAATTCCAGCCTTCAAGTGACCAAGACCAACGAACCTTCATCTCGGGAAGCCCACTTCTCCCCTCTACCCTTCTTCGGCCTATAAGCATGCTGTGGCTCGCAGCTCATAAGGGTTGGCTTGGTCAGATTCGTTGAGGCTTGTGTTTCTGATATCACCGGCTCCTTGCATATCTGGACTTCGCCAGCCATCAAGAAGCTTGCCAAGCATGGGCTGCATGATTCTTGTGTACTGGCAGAGATTGAAACTGTTTGACGAAAGTCTTTCATGTTGACATGCCCTTCGACCCGTGATGCTTGAACGTCCGAAAACAAGCCCTGCCTCAACACTACGGTAGATGAACTCACGCACGAACGCCCGAGTCAACCCCACCGAGCAGCGAGAGTTCTGAAACATGCAACCTCAAGCCACAAGCCTCTACTCCCTCAACATCTTCTCGAACGGCCTTCCACCATATAGCTGCATAGACGGACAAAGCGCCAAATTCTTTCGCACTCCTGGGCAGTTCCCATGCTGTCGTCATGCGCTCAGCTTGGGTCGAATATATATATATATATACATATATATATCTCTGTACATATATATATATATACATATATATATATACATATATACATATATACACACATACTGGTTATGATAGGAGTTTGGCACTTGGGGGGCTGGAAAAAGCAACAGTGGCGCAGTGAATCTTGAACGGCTTCGAGTCTACACCCGGCTCTACTCTTGCAACATGTCGTCGCCATCATGATCTAAGTGTTGAAGCACCAGCTTTCGAGGATCCGGAGAGGGAGTCGGGAGTCGGGAGTCGGGAGTCAGTTGATTCGTGCCCGGGGTGCTCAGCACAGTTCCCTGCGATACTGTCTGACCTTTGAGCAAGGTACCGCAGCTTCATGGACAATAACGACACGTCGTCTTGTTAATGCCGCGCCGGCAAAACAGAGGCAGCCCTGACTACACGCTCATGCTTTGCAGATGATGCGACGAAAGCCCCCTTGGACAAACATCGAAACAGCGGATATCAGTCATGGATGGCTCGGTGGCCGGGTACCAGCAGTTGCAAGCAGTGCACATTCTCGTGTCTGTAAGCTCGATTCCCAAAACAAGTGGCTCGCTTCAGTCGCCCACGCGACGCTGACGTGAGCTGGTTGGGAAATCCCAACGCCGCCTGGAATCTAAGACTTCAGGCTGCAAGGAAGCAGTTTGCAACAGCTGAAAACTCTCGACCCTACCACAGTGCTCCGAAATGTGATGGCTCACACGCTTGGTGGCCGGTTAAGGAAGAACGACGTAGCCCCGAGTGCCAAACACTCTCCAGCCCTGAACCTAAACCACCAAGTTGTCCCACCTCCGAGGCGGTGGCCTGGGACATGTGGGGAACCCGCGGGACGAACTCCGCACCCTGACAGATCGTTTGGCAGTCAAGAACTCGCAACGACAACAGATCCGAAGAATAAGCCCTAACTGGGATGACAGGCGCCGCTAGTTTCATCAGCCTGCTGAGGATGAAGCGATCTCGGGGACATACTCCGTTTCGGCACCGGAACTGCAACTGTGGCTTGCAACACAAATTTCAAGCCGCAGAAGACACGTTGTGCATCATGTGCGACACAATACAACAAAACAACAAGACAGCTCAGCACTGTGCATAGCAAGACATACCAACGAAAGGGACTATCGCATGAACTCCCTGCACATGTATATAAACACGTGCAGATGTCTGAGGCAACCAATCACTTCAAACAGAATCGTTTGAATAGTTGTACCTTAGCCCCGCCTGGATGGAAAGTGCACGATCTATGGCAGACAGGGCCTGCATCAACAATTGTAGTCACTGTCGGCGTTGACGTGCATCAACTCCATTCATGTGTACACATCTGTGGATTCCACGCATGCAGCAGCCCCTCAGATCTTGCGACTGATTTCGCTGGTATTGTCACTCAATCTCGAACTAAACATCATCTGTCGGCTCTGCACATCCACAAATTCTATGTCCTGACTCACTCCTTTGGCGCTCCTGCCTCAGCAATGGCACAACGCTCGGCCTGGAGCAGGCAGCACAGCTGAAAGTTCGGATTTGTTTTGTTTCTCTCATGCCGGAATTGTCAAGCGTAAGGAATGCGGCTCAAACGACTGATCAACCTTAACCTGTACATGTGCTCCATCTTTCAGGACTTCACCGTATGCCCAAGCCACTGAAACAGAAAGCACCGGATGCTCTTGCATCCTACACCTCACGTTGTAGGGCTATAAACCCTTGCTGGCACCATGAACCTCCACACGGGGCCGCAGAATCTTCGCCGTCCACTTGCGAAGGCCGTTCTGCAGTGTTTCGTCAAGAGCACCTAAGCTGTCGGTCGCACTTAGAAGACGGCTAGGTAGGTTTTAAGTGTTGGTGCATCGCTTTGTATATATATATATATACATATATATATATATATATATTCGCAGAAGGAGGCAGGGTGACATAAACCAAAAACAAACCGGCCCAGGGGCAAACCAGGCCCAGGGATTTCTGGCAGCCTCTCCCGAGCTCTGCATTGAAGCTTGCGATTAACATGTGGGCTTTCCGGTTTCAGGAGGCTCGTGGCCTGCGGTGGGGAGGACTTCAAATTTCAGATCTGGGTCATGGGCAAAGGGCTGGCCGGGGCATTGGGCTTCTTTGAGACGGCATTGCGGGGAAGCAGCGGCCGTCGACACGCCCATTTGCTGACATTACCGAGACTCATCGCCCAAGCAACCTCGAACTGCACTATGCGGCACTGTCAACCTCATTCATTATGGCTGACTACACTCGGTTGCATCACGACACACAGAGGCACCTCTGGTGTGGAGAACTTGGAGGTCTGCAAGATGCCTGCTTACGGGATGGTTTGCATCCAGGGGAGGCAGAGGCACGATAGGAGATGTAGTTGTCTTGCTGCTGGAAGACATAGCTACGGTGCCAGCGACACATCATGAGCTATACCATAAACGACTCCAAGATACCAACAGCTAGCTTCACTATTGCTGATCTTGCTAACTGGTACTGGTGCTTTCTCGTTCGACTATTGCTTCTGCTGCTATTACTGTATACTACTCCTACTACTGCTACTACT